GGCTCCCAACAGCTCCTGGGTTAAAAAAAAATCTCAATGGCTCCTGGGAGCTAAATATGACCACTTCCTTGCTGTACACCACTGTACACTTCTATGAAGACCTGATGGATTGCTTTAGTCAGAAGGTGAGTACTTGTCACTTTGTAGATTTGGCTAATGCTTTATTTTCTAATGACACAATCCCTGACACCCAGGACCAGTTTGCTTTTATATGGAATGGCTTTTATATGGACTTTCCCAGTGCTCCCTCGGGAATATCTGCATCTCCCCACCTTGTGTCACAGCTTAGTGGAGTCAGATTTGGCTCTGTGACCAAAGCTACTATCTTTGCAAATGTATTACTGATGATATTCTGCTTATGTGTGACTCTCTTATAGACCTTGACGCAGCTGTACCAATGCTCCTCACAAAACATGTGGTTGTGTGGTCAACAAGGACAAGCCACAAGGGCCTGGACTGACAATCAAATTCTTGGGAGGTTCTCTGGTTATCTCTGATACAGTCAGCGATAAGATCCAAGTCTATCCTTTGCCTACTGTGGTGACGCAGTTACAGACATTTTCAGGGCTGTGGAGCCACTGGACAGCTTTCATGCCACACCTGGCCCAGGTGCTATATGCTTAACAAAGAAAGGCAGCTGTTGGGGCTGGTACCAAGAAGTGGAAGCAGTCTATAAGACTGCAAAAAAAGACTGTAAAGATGGCTTAAGCCTTCCATGTCTTTGACACAGCCCAGGTGGGTGAGCTAGATGTCCATGTGACTATAGACAGTTCTGAGTGGGTGCTGTGGCATAAGTTAGGACAGTTCTGACAACTGATAGGTTTCTAGTTCCAAATATAAAAAGGGACCAAGGAAGGATATTCACTGATTTGTTTTTTATTTTTGAGACAGGGTCTCAGTATGTAGTTCAGCCTGGCTTTGAACTCACTATGTAGTCCAGGCTGGAATCAAATTCACAGCAATCCTCCCACATCCTCCCTGAGTACTATGATTACGGGCACGCACCATCACATCTGACCACAGATACAGTCTTAAGTAGATGGAGTCTCTCTGAGATGTTCCAGACAAATGAGTGGTAAGCCCCTATTCCTGAAGATACCACATACACGGATGGCTCAAACCATGGGCAGTGAGCTGCTTAGACAGTTGTGGCAGTGCAGCCCTTTACTGACATCATATGGTTTGACAGCAATAAAAAAGAGCAGCCAATGGGCCAAACTGCAAGCTGTATGGTTGGTAGCAGCACATTAGCTGTTATGGCTTGTGTCTAAATTTTCTCTGAAAGCCTCATGCAGTCACAGATGGAACTTTGCAAAGGTGGCTGAATCCAGTGTGTGAGGCTGGGACAAAGTGTGTGATGCTGGGATTAAGACTGTGTGATTACTAAATTAATCCACTGACTAGTTTGGCAAAGTTGTGGGTATGGATAATGGGAAGGCCCACCTGGGTGTGAGTGCTGTCTCCCTTAAAAGGACGTAGTCTGGATAGAATGTAAGGCACGGAAAGAGAGATGCTGCCATTGCTTGCTGCTTGCTGCTTTCAGCGGCTCCTGCCTTCTGCCTTCCACACCATGAACGGTTTTCTTCTCCTCTGTGATTCCCCTGTGCCCTGCCACCCTGCTTTGGAGCCAGCAGATTATGGCTCCAAACCTCTACAAACTGTGAGCCAAAATAAGCCTTTTTCTCCTACAACATTGGGTGTTGGCTATTGTGTCTTTGCAATGAGAAAAGCAACTAAAAGGTTAGCCACCCCATTCATAATTTGTCAGCTGAGCAATATAGATGGGACCAACTCTCATGGATCACCACACGGTACTTGAATGACCAGTGTTGCATTCCTCTCTCCCTTGGGCAAAGAATACTGAAAACTTCACCTACTGCGCCCAGCAGCTAAGAGGCTTTCAGAGCAAGGCATGAGGAAAGCAGCACAACACAGTAGTATTATCTGCTAGCTGTCTGCCCCCACCCAGGGTGCTACCCTAGGTACTAAAGCCAAAGTTACTGCTCTTGTCTTGCATACTGCCCATTCTTTTAATTATACTCAATGGACCTGAGGACTGTTGAATGAAGCGCATCAGTTACACAAAACTGCTTTGCAGAACAGGATGGCTTTGGATATTCTCAGCCTCATGAGGTGGCACTTGTGCCTTAAGTAGATTCTAAATATTGTGTGTACACACCGGATAAACATGCCACGGTTAGTCAGGCATTGGGTTCTTGGTCAGAAAAACTATATGAACATTGATGGGAGATCTCATGCAAGAATGGTGGGTGTCCTCAACTTCATAATGATGGCATTATTCTCAGATACACTGCTGAAAGGTAGTTATTAGTATTCTGCTGCTGCAGCCTACACTGTTGTTGTGGATTATGGGTACAATCCTGCACACTTCTCATCAGGAAAATCACACAGAAGATTCACACAGAGCAAAAGCCCTTTGGGGGGAGGTGAAGTGTGTGGTCAGGATACCAGAGGTAGCCAGGTTCAGGCTTTCCACCAGGGCCTTCCGCTTGTTGGAGAGTCAACATATGTTATGTAACTGGTGTGTGCACGGTAAACATGTAAACAAGTAGTCTGTATCTGTGCTACAACTTTTTGACAACTTGCCAGCTTTTATAATACCATACTTAAGAGAGACTTATCAGTGTTACTCCCCTGCTGCGGTATTAAAGGCATGTCAGAGATTCACACAGCTCTGTGACTTTTCTTCAGGCTGTCCAAATTCCAAGTGAAACTCCCCAGCCTGGAACTGTGGCACAACATTATACTTTTGATGCATTCTAGGATTCTTGTCAGTCAAATACTGTGACTAGAATGTACATTTCTCCACTTCTATCCTGATAAAAGATTCCAAAACAAGCGGCAGGTTAGAGAGAGAAGTAAAGCAGCAGTTATGTAAGAGCATCCAAAGAATTTTGTTTTACAAATTAAAATAAATTCTAGCTGGGAGTGGTGGTGCAGATTTATAATCCCCGTACTTGGAAGTCTGAAGCAGGAGGCCTGCTGCGTGTTGGAGGACAGCCTGGGCCACACAGCATGAGGACTGCTACAAGTTCAAGGCTATCATGGAATAAAGACATTTTTTTTTTCAAAAAAAAATTTTTAATGAAGTTCTTGGCAAAGCTAGCAGACTCCCAAGAAAATGTTGTGTACTAAGACAGTCATCTTTGTTCCTGAGACCTTATCTTTAATCCTAGCTCTCCTGCCACTAAAATTTCACCAATTAGGTTTAATTCCCTACATCTATAGGTGACTGATTCTTTTGTGAATCAGGTAGAACGGATAAAACTGTTTTGGAAGAAAGAACAAAGTTTGGGGAAAGCCAGACCCAGACTCTCTACATAAGTCAGCACTATTCACAGACTGTGGAGGGAGAAAACTAGACCTCACAAGGAGGTGATCCCTCCTAGAAACCAAGGCCATGCACAGGCCACTGCCAGAGTGGGGACAGCCAGGCCCAAGCCTCTCTCCATGAGCCAGCACCATTCGTGAACTGCGGAGGGAGAGAACAAGGCCTCATCAGGAAGTGATCCTCTCCTGGAAACCACATCATTTTCATTATTTTGTTGGATTGGGTTTTATTCTCCTTTGTTTTGTTTGATTATAGGCATTATGGTAACCACGGTTGATTTCATAAGGTTTTTAAGTCCTGTATCACTTATACTGGTTTATTTGGAATGGTTTTGTTCTGTTTGATTTTATTTTCTTTTGCTTTATCCTCTTTAAAAAACATAAAAGAAAGAACAAAGTGTCCCATGAATGTAAAAATCACAATTTCGGGGAAAACATCACATGACCTTCCATTCCCAAAAATAGTATTCTAGAAAAACTTAAAATATGTATGAAAACACTATGAATATGACATTAGACAATTTCATGTGTAAGCTATTTTCTCAAGAAAAGTGATTTAAAGAAAGTGAATCAATGGAGAAATTTCAAAATATACTAATATACTTGGAGGTAATTTTTACCTCTAAAGGAAAGTTTTCTTCTTAATTTTTGTTTTTGTTTTGTCTTTTGGAGACAGGGTCTCACTATGCAGTTTAGGCTGGCCTTGAGCTCCTTTTGTAGCCTAGGCTGGTCTCGAACTTGCAATGATCCTCCTGCCTCAGCCTCCCAAGTGCTAGGATTACAGGGGTGAGCCACCACACCCAGCTCTAACATGAGTTTTCTTGAGCAGCCAAGAGATAAAAATATTCAAGATCTGGAGTTAACCGTTCATCTGTTAGGTCCTCAGAAGATTGTAATGAACACGATGATGGTATAGCCTGATCCTGTTAATAATGTAGGAAATCACATTTAAATTGCTGTTCGTTGTAAACCACTCCTTTACTGCTGGGTACAGTGTTAATCATGGCATTACAGAAGACTACCCAGCAAGCAGTCAGCTGAACACGGAGCTGGCTTTCCCAGCTCACTTGTGTGGGTGCCTCTGCCCACCTTCATGGTGAAGAGAGGCAATCGTAAACTGCTTGGAGTAGGTGTGGATGAATGACCATCCTGTGTCTCAGCCTCTCATTTGCACTAGGGGCGGGGATGAGACAATTTTTTGGTTTAAAATTTTAAGTGAGAAGATGGACCCCAGACAACTCAAGCTCGAGGACCCAATTTTCAACCACTGATGCCTCCAGGGCACAGATACAGTCCACATCCACACACTGACACTGGCCTGCACATGAGGAGTCTGAGCTGCTCTGACCTTGCATTCTTTCAGGTACGACAGTCTAAAGATAACTGAAGGAACATGAGTTTTAGAACAACAATGTAACCTCAAGAATAAAAACAAAACTGAAATATTAAAAAGTAACAGACATCTCTACTTTACCCTTTCTTTTTCTGCTTATTTTTCTATATTCAGTCCCAGTTGTGACAAGGACAACTGATTCCTTTCTCCCACCTTCAAGCATCCACATTCCCTTGAAGAGATTTTTATAGCTTCTTTCCCTGAATACTATGTGTTGTAGTCAGGGGTTGCGCAGAGAACAATTAGAATCAGGACATGGAGTTTATAATATTGCTTTATGATGGTCACCCAGAGTTAACACAAGAAAGTGCAGGAAATCTATCCGCAACACCAAAGACACAGAATATTTAGTCAAGGGCCTAAATCCCATAGCAATGTCCCACATGAGTTCAGATGAAAACCCAGAGCTCATGACAATGCCTCCCACGAGTCCAACTGGAGGTCCAGAGGCCACAAGAAGGACTCACGCCAGTCTCTTTTATGGATCCGTGCTGGAAAGCCAGAAAGTCCATGCCAGCGGGGTGAAGGAGCTGTGCTGGTGGGATTAGGGTTCTATGCTGGAGCTGAGAAGTCACACAACAAAGACCAGGGCTGTCCTGAAAGGTGCCACAGCAATCCTCAGTGACACGGAGGCCCCGAGCTCCTCCAACGACAAGCACAGTAGGGTACGTGCCAGGAAGCCAGCGTGATGAGTTCATCCTGGAGACCAAGCAGCACACGGCTTCTTCTCCGGAGCCAGGAAGCAATGCTCAATGTGAGGACCACAGCTTCTCCAGGAGACCTAATGGCTCAAACAGCAACTCGTAGGAGAACCCACAATGCCTCAACAACGCCTCAGCACAACAGCTTCTCCTTCTCCACATCTCTGTTTATGCTGACATCTTTCCTCAGGTGGAATATCTACACTCAGCAGCATGGTGATTTAATTCTGCTGGCATTAAGTTGACCACCAGTTTTCAATCCATAACACTATTTTTGGCACAAAATTCCTCTCCCTGTGCACTTAAGTACAGTCTTTCTGAGAGGGTTGGATAACATGATTAAGTGCAACACTGTACTGTGCTCAGAAGAGCTCATATTTTACTATTGTGTTTTTGCATCATATCATTCCAATCTCTATCTCTATTTATTAGATGACTATGGTCCCACAAACATCTAAATACTACAGATATTAGTCTCGTAATACATAAGAATGCCTGGGTTCTACTTTATTGGGCCTTGAGCTCTCCAGGCCATATAGCCTACACTATAAGATTTCTCCATGATAATGGATGTATCCAAATTTGCTTGAAAGGCCTCACTAGGCTCTGGTTGTGCTTCTTGTTCCTGGGGGGAAAGGTGCCCAATACTTAATGATTATAACACAGTCAGAGTCACAGACATTCAGTGATATTGGAACAGCACAAAAGGGACAAAAGGTAGTATGAAAAGGGAGCTGCATATCCATTCGCTCAAGACTGGCCACGCATTAGGTCCAGTGCACAGAGTAGAGACTGTTAATTTAGCCTGGACCCAAATTGCAGCCCTGGGTCATCTATCCTTCCCAGCCATCACTCAAGAGTGATGCTTGATGAGGAACAGATTCTAAAGACCAAATCAATCACACCAGATTTTCTGCCTAAGACAAGTGATTACTATAGATGTCTCTCTCTCTTTTTTTTTTTTTTTTTTTTTTTTTGGTGGGGGGAGGCTGAATGATATCCCCATTATCCTCAGAGCAAACTATCAGGTGAAAATGCACTCTTCAATTGTAACCTGTAAATCTGTAAACTGAGGATGGTAAATACAAACTGTCTCTGGATCCTCTCAAATAGACCCAGTGAATTTATTTCTAGCCTAGAACATAATGCCAAGAAACAAACAGCAGGCACTGATGGCCTGTTTCCACTCTTAGGTAAGAAAGGCTTGATTCTTTGCCAGGTTACACCCAGGACCATGACCAGGACATAAACTTTATCTTAGTTTCTTTGAATGCAAGTATTTTAAGTAATGGACAAATTTGTGAATCTCTGAAAACCTATGCACCTAAGAAGCACTACAGGGTATAAGGGAAATGCTGCTTCCCTTGGCATTCAAATTCCCAGAAAAGGTAGGAAAAGAGAATCAAGCAAAAGAAATATGCCATGAGGCAAAAGGGTCACTGAGAGTTGGAGGCGCCTGTGCTGCTCCACAGGGACATCGAGGCCAGCCTGAACCACACAGCAAGACACAATCTCAAAATTTAGCTCAGCGGCATAAGCGCCTGCCTTGCAAGTGTGCAGTCCTGAGTTTGATCCCTGATACCAAAAAAGACAAAAAAAAAAAAAAAAAAAAAAAAAAAGCTCATAAAGCTAAAGAAAATAAAAATAAATTTTAAAAAGGAAAGAAAGAAAAGAGATGCGAGAAAATTAACACATTTTTGGGAGCTGATATAACTTGTTAGCATTCACTCAACCCAATTTCCCCAGGTGAACTTACCAGCAAAGCTTTGTGGCCCAGGCTGTCTGCCACATTTCTCACCGTGACTGTCCTGACCATAGCTGTCCACTTTCGCCCAGCTGACATCATATCCTCCTGTCTCCTCCTTCTCCCTGTGAAACTCTACACCTTGCTGCCAGCCCATTGCTTCAGGGCCCCTAGCAGGGGGCCGCAACAAGGGACCAGACCTGCAGACAGCCTCACTCTCCAAAGTCAAACTGCTCTGAGGGTGCCAAGGAAGGACTGGGAGCTCCCCACTAGCTGCCTTCTCGGCCTTTTCTTTCACCTCCGCTGCACACAAGAGGAAACAACCTTGAATGGTTACTGTGAAACTGGAAACAAAGCTGTCACCCTATCACTGTGTGACCGATGTGTGACACAGTCTGCCTCACACTGTAATAACAGTTGCCTCTGCACAGCTGCATCTTCCTTAGCTTGCCCTGTTTGGCCTGATGGGGAGGGGAAGGGAGACCTGATGACAGAACAGGAAAGGCATTCCAGTTAGTTATCCCCTACAACAGCCTTTGCTGCTGCGTTCCCGATGAACTCAGCAGAAAACTTGCAGGTGCATGCTCTTGGTGACTGAACAACAACAACAAAAAAGAACACCTGAAATTCCCAAAACTAGTACTTACCAGAATGGGTTTGATTTGAATTTGCCTAGTCTTTCTAGACCACTGAGCTCGTACTTTGGGGGTATGTCCATATATGCCTGTTTTCATTTCAAATGTGCCACACTTCTGCTAAGATCACAGTCCCAAAAAAACAGATACTGTAGTTGGATGAGTAAGGAGATCTGTAATTTAGAACACAGCCTGGGCAATTTAGTTACTTTGCAAGACCTTGTCACAAAATAAACATTGACAAGGGCAGGAGATGTAGCTCAGGGCCAGTCCCTAGTACTACCACTGCCACCGCAGCAGACATTGTATCCTTTACTCTTTTTTTTTTTTTTTTTTTTTTTTGTCTTTTTCCTTTATCGGTACCAGGGATTGAACTCACAACTGCCTGCTTACAAGGCAGGCACTCATGCCGCTGAGCTAAATCCCCAGCCCCATATCCTTTACTCTTACAAGATAAAACAGATACCAAAGAGTAACATTCATACAATATGTGACAGTGACTGTACTTTAATAAACTTTATATATCAAATAACTATACTGTGTATTTTTTAAGTAGTTTTTGTTGTGTTATTCAGACTGATCTCAAACTCATGGGCTCATGATTCTCTAACTTGAGCCTACTGAGTAGTTATGGCTCCAGGCATGCACCACTGTGCCTGGCTGTATATTGTCTTATTGTGCCTGTTAGGTAATATATGCTTGCATACATGTGTTATGTATGTGCATATGTATAAAATATAAATATTTCCCATAAGGTCTGACAATGAAAAAAAGCATTTCCCTTATGTACTCTGCAGTCAGAAAAGCCTTGTTTTTAATATGGAATTATCTCAAAGGAAAAAGGTAGGAAGATATTGCTAAGGTGTTAAAGAGTGAAATACAATGAGCGCCTGCTTTGTAAGCAGGCAGTCGTGAGTTCGATCCCTGGTACCGATAAAAATGAAAAAGACAAAAAAAAAAAAAAAAAGAGTGAAATACAAGGCTGGGGATTCATCTCAGTGGCATAAGTGCCTGTCTGACAAGTGCAAGGTCGTGAGTTTGATCCCTGGTACCAAAAAAAAAAAATTTTTTTTTAAATTTTTCTAAAGAGTGAACTACATGATATTCACTTAGGGATATCCATCAGGGGCTGTGGGTATAGCTCAGTGGAAAAGCAGTTGGTCAGCATGCATGAGGCCCTCTCAGTTTGAGCCTTACCATCATAAGAGACACAGAAAGACAAACAGACTCTATGTGTATGTGGCAGCTAACAAATGCGCTCTAAATTTCATCTGGTCTAACAAACCCATTACTTCATACTCACTTTTCCAATATAAGTGTATCTCTCCACGTTTCCTGACTTCACATTTTAAAGAAGTCTCAGATATCCCACACTGATCCTAAATTCCACAGGTTTTTTAGGTAGAAGACTTAGAGCACGGTGGACTTAAATATGTAAGTTTGTTCAAATTCCTAACAGAACTCAAAGCCCTCCCAGAACCACGCCAGGACACTCTGACCCATTCTTGGGGCTGCACTGGCTCCTGTCTGCCACCAGAGGGGGCCACACTGCAAGGTTCCTTACCTGGCAGAGCCCTGTAGAGAATTAAGTAACCCAGAACACTGCACTCCTTGCTTCAGTGACTTTGGCCAATGTACTGGCTGAGACTGTGCAACCAAGACTGGGTTAGAAGATTTCTTAAGATTTTCAATGTTTCCAAGTTCAGATTTTATAATTACAATTTTTTCTTGGGAAATTTTCAGAAATAGAAGAATCTACAATTAAAATACAGCTTCACCAGATAGAGGAGTCTGATTCCCTCAGTTGTTGTCTCAGACACAGATGGTGGTTTAGGTAAACGTTCTGTTCCTTCTCTTCCATCGGACTTCTCTGGTAACAGGCCCACCTGCATATTAATGACAGTAACTAACATTTGTGCAGATAGTCATGAGGCACCAGAACTGTGAAGAATATTCTGAGACCTTACTGAGTCCTTGACCCTGACTTGCTGGGTTAGCTGTCTGATTTCGGCAGATCAATCTGTCTTGACCTGGTATTTTTAACCACATAACAAGTGAGTCTTTTCCTCTATATACCCTATAATTTTAACATACAAACTTAATTCTTCAAAACTGTGATGTGTGGTACAGATACAACCTCCCCATCATCAATAATGTACCACTCTCTCAGCAGGATTGGAAAGCAGTGAGGTCAGCTTAATCAGCTTCTTTAAAGAGCTCTTTGGCAACAACTATCAAGAATCTTTAGGCCTGGTACCAAAAGAAAATCTTTAAGGGCTGGGGTTGTAGCTTAGTGGTAGAGTGCTTGCCTAGCATGTGGAGGACCCTGAGTCCAAACCCCAGGATGATGATGAAGAAGGAGGAGGAGGAAGAGGAGGAAGAGAAGGAGGAGGAGGAGAAGGAGGAGAAGGAGAAGGACAAGGACAAGGAGAAGGAGAAGGACAAGGAGAAGGAGGAGGAGGAGGAGGAGGAGAAAGAGAAGGAGAAGGTGGTTTAAAGTAACCAAACCTTTGGACCTAGTAACTCTGCTTCTGGGCATCTATCTTAAGGAAGTAATTCAAAATGCAGGAAAAACATTAGGTATAAGTCATTGTAACCTTGTTCCTCACAGAATATAAAAAGAAACAAACTGAAATTCAACCATGGGGGAAACCTAACAATTTCAAAATAAGTTTACAAGCTAGATCTTAGAAACAACCCAAATGCCCATCAACCAAGGAATAGATTTTAAAAAGACATGATTGTTTTATACAATGGAGTACTTTTCAGCAAAAAAAAGGAAGATAAACTGGATATTTTTTAAAGGTAAATGGATGTGAAGCTGTGCAAGTGCGTGCACTTCAGGAAGAGAAAAGTCAGCATCTCTCGAAAATCCACCATACTAGGGTTTGGGGGACCAACCAAGAAATCAACCAGCCAGGCTTTTGGCTAAGCTTTGCCAGCCATGGGTATTCCAGGGAAAGAAAACACAGCACCTCGCGTGAGCCTACCAGCGCCTGCGCTGAGAGTCACACACTTTCCACCCTCCATTCCCACCCCCGTTAGCAACTGGATGGTTTCCAGGACAGCCTGAGTTGATAACAACTGAGGTACATAATGCAACTACATGATTGTACTCTTTAGTTGGTTTTGCAGGCCTGGGGCCAGTGGTCTCAGTGTTTCTTGAGTGGGTAACAGTATGCAATATAGCAAATATGGGGGATTTCCTTCTATCTTGTCTTTGAAGTCTAATATTTGCATTGTTTTGTTTTGATCTGATTAACTGTTTTGGTTTATTCAATATTTTTATTGTTTTTATAGTGTTTTGTTTTTGGTTTGATTTTGCTAGACCTGATGGAAAGGACAACTATTGTGAAGATAAGATATACTATCATTGTTTTCCTGGTATCCTGCTCTGAAGTTTTGTCCCAATTTTGCTGCATTGTCTTGATTAGCCTTGTTCTCTCTTGTTTTGTTAAGTTTACTACCTTTAAAGTTAAAAAAAAAAAGGTAAATGGATTCAATTCAAGACCACACTCATAAAATAAATCAGACTCACACATGGAAACATCTTATTGTCTCCCTAGTGTGAGAAACTGAAAGAGTAAATAAGATCCACAGTGTACAACAGATGGTGTGAAATGCCAAGAAACCATTCAAAAGGAAAGAGAAACTGGGATGGGGAAAAGAGAAAACAAGGAAGGGAAAAGCAAAAGAATAAAAATTGAAAAATATATATCACATTACCTTGTTTTGAAATTTTTACTTCTCTTTAAAATATAAATTTTTTCTCTTTAAAATAAAATTTAAAAACCAAGTTTATAGAGTTTTTAAAAATTACATGGAATAATTTGCATCTCTCAAACAACCAATGATGTTTATCATTTTTTCATATATTTACTTGCTATTTGTATTTCTTCAATCTAAGAAGTACATAGATACCCATTTTTAGATTAGACCTTTGAAATCTGAGGGCCTGACTTTTTTCAGTTCTTTATATGTTGCATAAGTCCTCTGTCTGAAGGTCAGTTGGCTAACATTTTCCCCCATTTTGTGAGCTGTCTTTTCACTCTGCTGGTGATGATTTTTTTTTTTTTGATGTGCAAAAGCTTTTAAATAAGATGAGATCCCTGTTGTTGATTCTTTGTAGTACTTCCTGTTCAGTTTGAGTTTTTTTTTTAATTTTATTTTGAAAGTGGTAAAATACAACAGAACAAGACAGAATAAAGCCAACTAAGATCATACAGTGATATTGGTACAGAACTTCACAGCAGGTTACCGGGATAACAGTCATAGGTATCACAGTATATTTCATTATCTTTATAATAGTTGTTCTTTCAACCATGTATATCAAAATGAGATGAAATACAGAACATTTTAGAACTTATCAAAACAGAATATTGAATAGAGCAGTACCATTAATCAGAATAGAGCAAAACAGTAATAAAAATATTTGCCTTCAAAGAGATGGTAGAAGGAAGTCCCCCTTATTTGCTATGGTCAACTTCCTAGGAGACGCTCAGATTTTGGTTCCCATTTGCTAACAGAGGGGACAGGAAAAGGTGGGTAGGGGAAGTGGGATATTTGACTCTAGGCTGTGCATCAGTAGGTTCACTATTGCTTAGCAGGGAGGCAGGCTGCTTGCTTGGTTTCACAGCATCCTAAGTTCCAACATGGCGTGGATCTCAGGAGCTGCTGCTGGTTCTCCCCCTGGAAGGGCCGCAGTCTCGAAATTTGAGTTTTGTTCATGAACTCTCTGCCTACACCTATGTCTTTAAAATTTAGGGCCAGGGATATAGCTCAGCAGCACAAGTGCCTGCCTGGAAAGCACCAGGTTACAAGTTTGATCCCTAGTACAAAAAAAAGGAAAAGAAAAGATGATTTCTACCTGATTTTTTTCCAATAGATTTAATGTTTCTGTTTTAATACTTAGCTCTCTGAAGCAGAAAAAATAAGTAGGATCCAAAATGTACAACAGGTCCTGTGAAATGGGAAGAAATTGTTCAAAAGGAAAATAAAATTGGGATGGGAGAAAGAAGAAAACAAAGAAAAGGAAAAATACATACATACATTCATACATACATACAAGACAGTTAAGATAACAATATTACTAATTCCTATTAGGTTATTGAAAGAAAGGTTTGTGCCTATATTGTTTGATCAATTTTTCATGCCTATATCTTGTAATATGGGCAACTACTTTGAAGATAACAATATGCAATGAATTAACCATTGTTACTCTCCTATCCTGTTTTGAAATTTTGCATTGTTTTTTCTCTTTAAAATAAAAATTTTTAATTTTTTAAAAACTAAAAAACTGGGGCTGGGGATTTAGCTCAGTGGCATAAGCACCTGCCTTGCAAGCAGGCAGTCGTGAGTTCGATCCCTGGTACCGATAAAAACGAAAAAGACATAAATAAATAAATAAATAAATAAATAAAAATAAAAACTAAAAAACTTTTAAAATAATAAATTGATAAAATAAAAATTTTATATTAAAAATTTTTTAAATTACATGGAATAGTACATTCTCAAGGAAAGTGGAAAATCAAGATATAAAATTGCCTATGCATATAATTACTGAAATTTTATTATTTATTTTGGGGGAGGACACAGGAATTAAACTCATGCTTGCCAGGCAGGGGCTGCCCACTCAACTAAATCCCCAACCCTGTAATTTTTTTTTTTTTTTTTTTTTTTTTTTGGTACCAGGGATCAAACTCATGACCTCATGCTTGCCAGGCAGGTGCTCGTGCCACTGAGCTAAATCCCTGGCTCCCTGTAATTTTTTAAAAGGATATTAAAAAGTATAAATAAGCAGGTGGCAAAATGCTAAACTTATTTGGTGTTTTCTGTTCTTGGGCAAAGAGCATGAAGATGGACAGTTACAGGTGTTTCTTTGTCATCCCAGACCTCCAATGTCACTCCCAGCTGCTTTGTCAATGGCCTGAGTACCAAACCTTCCAATGCCAGGTAACTGTTTCTTCGCAAATCCCCCAGTCAGAGTAAAATACACTGGTCTAAATCACTGAGAAAACTTTTGTCACTAGTCTTAGTGACCAATGTGGGGAGGGTCCAGAACTGGCTTCACAGCTGTGGATTAATGTTGCCATCTGTGAACAACAACAAAAAATTGATATACCTGTCTATCTTATAAAGCATTTTAAAAGGGTAACAAGTGTTTTCAAGGCGGTGGACACAAACAAATCCTTATAATCAGCAGGAATCTAAAGTGCTATTGCCATTAGGGAAAATAATATGAAGATTCCTCAAAAAATAACAATCATCATCGTAAGTGGGGCACGGTAGTATCTATCTCTAGTCTCAGCTACTTAGGAGGCTATGGCAGCAGGACCACTTGAAGTCAGGAGACAGAAACCAGGCTGGCAACATATCAAGAACCTGTCTCAAAAAAAAAATTAAAAGCAGAACTACTACTATGATCCAGGGTGCACGCAACAGGGTACACCTAACAAAAAGCTACTTTGAGGAGACAGCTGCTCTCCCATGTTGAGTGCATCACTTTTATTCAAGATATTCAAGATATAGAATCAACTTAGGTGTCCATCAAAAACTGAATAAAGGCTGGGGATGCAGCTCAGTGGCATAAGTGCCTGCCTGGTAAGCACAAGCTTCTCACAATGATTCCCAGTGCCACAAAACACCAAACAAAACTTAGCAAAATAATCAAACAATAAATAAATAAGTAAAAGAGCTATGGATAAAATATATTTTTAAATTTTAAAAACTGAATAAAGAAACTGTGAGATAGTTTATACACAGAGAGAGAGAGAGATACACACACTGGGATACTATTTAGACATAGAAAGAATAAAATATGGGACTTTGGGACAAGACAGGATGAGCTGAAGGAAATAAGTAAGTGAAATGGCCACACACTGAAAGAGAAATACTGCATGATCTTACTTATCTGTGGAGTCGAAGAACACTAATACTGTAAAGTCGCAGAATGGTGACTATGAGGTGATGCTGAGCAGATGTGAGGTAGTGAGGGGCTGCAGAGGGGAAGGCTGGTCAAACCGTGTATAACTACAGTTCCAAAGAGTTCAACAGCTCAACAGGAATAAACTCCAGAGGCCGACTTTCAGCAAGGTGACCAGTAGTCTTGAAAAATGAAGGGGACACTCTAGCACAAAATGTTAACTGTGTGAATAGTGTGACTTTTAATTACCTAGATTTAACTACTCCACAACAAATATGTACTTCACAACATCGTGTTTTACCCAGTAAACACATACAATGTTATGACAATTGGGGAGGCTTGTTTGTTTTTTTCAGACAGGGTCTCACTATGCAGTCCAGGGGCACCTTGAACTGCAAACTATCCTCCTGCCTCAGCATCCCTGGTGCTGGGATTAAAGGTGTGTGTCACCATGCCTGGCATTATGCCAATTTTTTTAAATGTTAAAACTAAACACATTTACTGCATCTTTTTAAATTTCATATATGTAAAAAAATGTATTTTATATAAATTTAAAACCCAGTGAACACAAATACTGTCCTCTCCAGGGATTTCTGCTAATGTCAATTCATTTCATTGAACTTTCTAGAAATCACATGTCCCAAAGATAATAATGGTATTTTTCAACTTTTTTGGAGTCAGCGATGCTTTAAACCCTATATGTCTCTATGTAGCCTGGGCTATATACAGTTTAAGGCCAGATGGAGCTACATAGCTAAAGGATGTGAAAAAAAATGAAAAAAAAATTTAGAAAGAAAAAGGAAGCATGGATGGATAGATGTATGGAAGAAAGAAAGAAAAAAAGAAAGAAAGAAAGAAAGAAAGAAAGAAAGAAAGAAAGAAAGAAAGAAAGAAAGAAGAAAGAAGCAAGCAATCACACTATAAATAAATTCATTGTTACTACTTAGCTCTGCATCCAAGCCAGGTATTTACAAAACCCAAAAGGCTTAACTTAGTAATTTAAGGATCTTGATTTTGCCCTGAATTATCCCCAATCTTCCCAGCATGTACAGTTTAAAGTAGATGATTAATTGTAGTTCATGTGATTCTCAAAATACACTAGTGTTAAAGTGATGCTTAGCCTGTGAGTCCAGGCCATACCTGATTCCTTTAGCTCTTTAATTTCCAAGTCTACACCCACCTTTCAATGTTCTGAAGTTAGTCCTAGATAGACACTGACACCAGGATAGGGTTCACATCTCTGCACCCTGGGGCTCTCCATTGGCTGGGTTCTCTTTGTTCCAGTGTTCTCCTGTGACACGGGAAATGTTGTCAAAGGCATATCTGCAATCTCCTGACTGTTCACTGGTAGAAACCAGCTACCTATCAGATAAGCTCCCACTTCTTGGTGGATACCCTGTAGTCCTTATTAGCTACTTCACTGCTATCCCAATACCGTGAAAGCAGTAATAGCCACCATTCACTGCATCCCCACTGTGTGTGCCTACAGCACACCTACCCACTATGTGCTAACGTCCTCAGCTCCACCCCTCTGTCCCTACTACTTACACTGTGTTAAGCAGTTAGGCTTCCTCAGCAACACACAAGTATAGTAAAATGAGAATTTCCAGGGCTTTCCATGGCTTGATCTCCAGATTCCTTTTGGTCACCACACAGTGCACTGGTGAAACATTTGCTGTAAAGACTAGCAAGCTGCCTGAGCTTCTGGAAACACAGAGACCCTGAGCTAACCCACACTGCCTCAGCACCATTCCAGCACCAAGAGTTGCTTACCATCCCTGCCAGTTCAGGGCCTTTCTGGCCCTGACTCTGCTGGCCACTCTCCCCTGCTCACTGGCTCCACCCAAGTCACAGGAGCCATCTCTCAGTTACTCCTGCAGGTCAAGCGCATCACCACCTCAACTCTCTGCACCAGCAGCTTCTTCTGCTGCCATTCTCTGCCCACGGATCCTAGCACAACTTCTTGTGTCACTTTTTTAGGGAAGCTTCCCTTGACCACCTACTCTAAAGGAATCCTGTATCAGGGGCTTCAGAACTCTTATTTTCCATATGAATTTCCTTCATTCATCTGGTGTATTAACTATCTCCCCTTGACGGCAGTCAGTTCTCTGAGAACAGGCACCTTATCTATTGTACCACTGTATTTCCAAGTTTACACCAGGACTGTGGGAAGCCCTGTAATTGGCTGCCACCTTATATCTGCAGGCCGCACCAACTTAACTCCCTCTAGGAGTTAAGTCTGGTAGTTAAGCAGCACCTTGCCCAGCTTGTTTGGCCTATTCAGGGATTATGCTTATGAGTCTGTGTGCGGGAAATCTGAAAATTTGATTTAACCTAGAACCCTCAGTCTTGCCACTGTTGCTAAGTTACCTGCTGACATCTCAGAACCTAACTCCCTTCTCCCCCAATACCCTATATATTTGTCACTTTTTTCTTGAATAAACGAGACTTGATCGGACTTCTGTCTTGTCTCCATTCTTTGCGTCTCTTGTCCCCTTTCATCCCCACTCCCCCTCTAGAGTCTCCGTGGACTTACCAACAGGACGGGACCCAGGACCTCAATGTTTACTGTTGAATCAGTCAATATAAGACTCTCTCCAAACGTCCCTCAAGTTCCATCTTCTGAATCAAAACCACCTGGGCCTCCTCCAAACCCTTGCCCTTCTGGAAATGGATCCTCTCAGTTTAGCACCCAAAGGTTCACTGACTGCCTGAATACCTCATTTTTCCAGATTCCCTAGAAGCTAAGTCAGTACATCTTCAAAGTCCCCTGGACCAATAAGAGTCCTCAGGTCAGGTCAGGTCAGGTCAGGTCAGTGTTGACATCTGTACATGACTTTCATGAGAATCAAACAGATCATGGGGGGCTGGGGATTTAGCTCAGTGGCATAAGCGCCTGCCTTGCAAGCACGCAGTCGTGAGTTCGATCCCCAGTACCGACAAAAAGGAAAAAGACAAAAAAAAAAAAAAAAAAAAAAGAAACCAGATCATGGGCCCAGAGTGGTGGTGCACACCTGTCATCCAAGGTACTAGGAATGATGAGACAAGAGGAGTTCAGTCTGGACAACTTAGCAAGACCCTACCGCACACACACAGCAAAAATCATAGTAAAAATAACAAAGGTTGTAGATATAGCCCAGAGATAGCCAGTTATAGCTAAGTTCAATCTCCATAATAAGAATAAATAAATAAGTGTTTAAAAAACAAGGGAACTACCTAACAGTAAGTCATTTGATGAACTGGCACCTGGCATAAGAATGTATTTTGGAGGCCAGGATGGGTTTCTCAGACTTTGAGCAAATTTCCCTGAATTGTTCTTTTCTATAGCTTTTGACAGACAGCAAGGAGATTTAGAAGCCATGAAGTAGTGAAGGTACGATGGTGCATATCTATAACGTCACCACTCGTGGAGGCTACAGCAAGAGGATACGATGCTCAAGGCCAACCTCAGCAAAACAGAGTCTGGGTGAGATGTTTCAAATTTTTAAAAATTAAAATAAAAAGAGCTAAGGATGCAGCTCAGTGAGGTGTTGCTTTCAGTTTCCAGTACCACACACAGAAGAGGCCATGAATCTGTTACTAAAGTTTCATTTCTATTGCCAAATAGCTAAGATGTGACCTTGTGCACTGAAAACAGAAGGGATCTACACGCAAATATTATTTAATGTTGACATTTACTGTATTTATTCTTTTTATAACTATACATTAAACCAATACAAATCATATTAGTTTCAAGAAAATATAACGATTGCTTTGCTTGTACTGCTGGGTTTCAACCCAGAGCCTTATAAATGTTAAGTGCCACATCCTGTGCAAACAATGCGGGCACTGACAGGACAGCACAAGATTAAGAGAAGACAAAACACACAGGAAAGCTGGGACTGGCCGAGACATGGCCCTCCAATGGAGAAGTAGCGATGCCATACCAGCATCCTCATTTATACACAGAAAAAAGGGAAGCATGTGACAGTGTCGAAAGTGCAAGGTCCTGGTAACAACACAAAAAAGGAAATATTTTCAGAGTCATCTGTGCTATAATTAACAGGAAGGGACAGCAAGGCTGGACACCTGCTGATACGCAGCTAAGCTAGAGGTCAACTTGTTCACATGTGGGGGGAATGCTTCTGGCATTCCATGTTCCTGGGACCAGCTTTGCTCTAGTCCAAAGGAGTTCACAGATCTCCACCTCAGCCACAGCTCAGCTGTTCCACACAGGTAAGTAGGTGCCCTATCACAGAGCTACATTTCCAGTCCCCAGAAACGGCAACTAAGTGTTTCAGGACAGGATGTGCTTCTCAGACTTCAAGCAACTTCCCTAAATACAGGATGTTTCTCAGAATTGAAATCCTTTCCTTCATTTTCTGTCACCTTCATCTCTTACAATCCTTCCTTCTTTCTGTTAAACCCAGCTGAGGGTAGGGGACTTCTTTTCTGGCTGTCACTAAGTGATATTCATCAACTCTGCCATTATTAAAATTACACTTGCCTGAAGCTAGAGGACACCACTTGCAAGATCCAGTCCAGGTCTGAAGACTCCGTGAAGCAGCAGAAAAGGAAAACCTGCTCCAGCACTTTTACATCAAGACATGGAATGCTACTCTTAACAACGACATTCAATAAACTCACGTGCCTAAGTAGACTGTTAACAAAAATCAATGCAGCTTTGAAAGCTGGTTTGGATTCTTGGATAATCAACTGATGTCATCAGCTTTCAAAGAAGAGTAGTGTCCGGGCTGAAAATGCTTGCTGACTCACATTTCTGCCTCAAGTTCCATCCTGAGTCAACGAGCCCAAATGAGGACTTGCACCTTCTCGCCATACCTGTGTGGCTCCCATCAATCCTGGTTCCCTTCTGTCCCCACGACTGACCAGCTGCTGGCCTCAGCTCAGCTCCTTGGTGCAGTTCACTTCTGGCCTTGTCACTCTGGCCTCTTGGCTCCACTCTGTAGCCTCCCAGAGATCCTCTTCTCATGCACAACCTCAAATCCACCCTGTTCCTAAAGCCCAGAGGGATCTTTCACCACCTGGCTTGAGCCCCACCTATGCCTCTAACCAAGCACGTAACTTCTCAGCCCTCTAGGCCGGCTTCCTCATCTATAAAAGGGTAAGAATAGGCTAAGGACATACCTCGGGGCCACAGTCCTTGCTTAGCATGGACAGAGCCCAGGATTGAGCCTCAGTACTGTGTGTGTGTGTGTGTGTGTGTGTGTCTGTGATCTCTAAAGTCCCATTTTACTCTAGGAACCAAACGTCTATAAGAGCAAAAGCCAAAGAAATTGTTATGCCTTCTTTTCAACAACAGATGTCACTCCAGCACTTACCAGTATCTTGGATCCTGTCAGCTTTCCTCAAGTCTGTGGTACTGAAAACAGAAAGTATAAACCCCTTAGCTTCCACTAATCTGGAACAAATACAGTGGTAAACCCTGCTCTATATACGATTTTAAACTGTCCCTCCACTTAGATGCATCCAATCATTCAACAAACACTGAGCACCTATTTGTAATAAATACAGGTTTATTTGCCTCCTCAGCTCCTCCCTTCTCTGCTTCCTGGTTACTGTGGGTTGACCACCTTTCCTCTGCCATACCCTTCTGCCATGAGTTTATGCTTTGGAGCCAGCCAACCGTGGACTGGATGCAGTAGAAACTGTGAGCCAAATAAACCTCTCCTCCTTTACATTGCAGTTGTTGAACATTTTGTACCAGCAACGGAAAAGTGACTCTTATACCATTATACACTATTATGTACAGCATGAAGGGACACACTCACTGTGTGCAGATATAAGCAGGGGTGTGTGTACAGCCATAGTTTCCTTAATCTGGCTGCACATCAGAATCAGCGGAGGAGTTTCCTTTCTTTGATTGAAAAACAAATGTACCGTAAGGCACAGAACTCCTATCTGCAATCCCTGCCCTCAGGATGCTGGGGCAGAATGACGACAATTTTGAGATCAGCCTCAGCTACCACAGCAAGTGTGACATCAGTGTGGGTGACACAGTAAGACACTGTTCCAAAAGCCAAAATGAACAAAAAATACATAAATACAGTAAGACACTGTTCCAAAAGCCAAAATGAACAAAAGATACATACAAAAATACAAAAATACAGAAAAGAAGTCCCCTACCCTCAGCTGGGTTTAACAGAAAGAAGGAAGGATTGTAAGAGATGAAGGTGACAGAAAATGAAGGAAAGGATTTCAATTCTGAGAAACATCATGTATTTAGGGAAGTTGCTTGAAAACAAATGACAAAAAAACATTTTAAAGGCCTCCAACACCAAATGCCTAGTTTTCTTGCTTCAAAGCAATTCTGTTATCAGGTTTTGGGTTTGCTTTGTTTTCTTTGGAGGTACTGTGATGGATTGAGTGCAGGACACTGCTTACCTTAAGCAAAAGCTCTACCAGTGAGTTACAGAGCCAGCCCCTCTCACAAGTTTTTGTATCCTGCTGCAACCCACAGGGCTCTTGAGGTTTTTAGGGTGAGAATAAGGAAAAATAAGGAAGGGACAAAAGCAAAGGCTCCTTCATTGCAGGGCCTTTTATTTATTCCTTTTTAGCAACATAATGTCCATATGACACCCTGTTCTCCTAGCAACCCACTATTTGGATTGCCTTGGGGCTTGGTGTTTTTTGGGCTGAAGCACCTTCAGCTTGACCTAGGTGCCCTTTGTTCTAGGAAGGACTATACCTAGAGTGCTCTCAACAATATCCGCCTGTTACCACATAATGGGAAGAAATAAAATCCAGACTCCTGTGCCCTGAGCAATGAATTGTAAAGTGGTAAGTGACAAAGTTCAATGCCTATTCCCTCCTCTGCAAAAAAAAAAAAAGAAAAGAAGAGAAAAAGAAACATCAAACTAAATCATATTTATTAAGGTCTTGGGGAAAGGCCACATTCTTCATAAACAGAAAAAAAAAAAAAAAGACATTTACCCACACTACAGCATTCTTCCTTTCATAACATAGAGGTAACTTGCCTGTGACATTTGTGGTAACAAGAACCCCACAGTCCTTTCTGTGTTAGTGAGCTATATATCCCTAACAAACCCCTTAAGTTACATAAGGAAACAAGAAGCATAGACAATTCTTCACACACAACTCACATAACCCTTCGCTTTCACCTCACTACTAACAGCTAACTACTCAAGGTCTAATTTCTTCAAACTGCCATTGAACAGAAACCACTCAGACTACATTCCTCCCCTCTTACTAACTCAAAAAAGACAGTAAGGGGGCTGGGGGCTTAGCTCCGCGGCATAAGCGCCTGCCTTGAAAGCAGGCAGTCGTGAGTTCGATCCCCGGTACCGATAAAAAGGAAAAAGACAAAAAAAAAAGACAGTAAGAACAATCATTAATAGCATTGACAGCTGCACACAAGGGACAGTAAGTCAGCTTTATGCTCAGAAATAAACACTACAGCTCCTCCTTGTGGTTCTCGGTGATCTAAACAGTCAGAGAAGTTTCTCAAGCAACATCTACACAAATGATTCCTCAGAGTATAACCTTGCCACTACAGCTGCCACCTTTGCTTCCTCCCTGAAATGCACACATACTACCCTGATGGTCCCTACCTGTGGGGACATTGGCGCAAATAAATGCACACTTCTTTTTTTTTCTTGTCTTTTTCGGTTTTTTTATCGGTACCAGGGATCGAACTCATGACTGCCTGCTTGCAAGGCAGGCGCTTATGCCGCTGAGCTAAATCCCCAGGCCCAAATGCACATTTCTAGCTTCCCTCCAAAACGCCTTTCCCTTACCAGACCTACAAAAAAATCCATTTTCAAGCTCTTGCCTTTTGGAAAACTTACTTCACCAGGGCAGCTTCATTAACATAGTATCGCCAAACACCCAATCCCGAGCCACTTACTTATAACCAACCCCGCCCCACTTCCGCCCCGCGGTTCCAGGTTCCTGTGCGCCATGCTGACGGCCAACCTGCGCGCCGCAGCGCCAGAAACCCTCCCTCCCCCGCACGCCTCTGGTGGGACCGCTGGGCCCAGCCAGGGAGGCCCCTTGAGAAAAAAACCAAATCCCAAAGTGACTAGTAAAAGCTACCGCACAAAGCCAAAGGCTATGATATCTGTACCGATCATCCTATCCTATGGTACCGATCATCCTATCCTTCCTTTCTTTCCTTCTTTCCTTCTTTCTTCCTTTCTTTCTTCCTTTTTATTGTGATACAAGGGCTCATTATGTATGATAGGATTTTCAGCGCGGTAAAAAAGAGAATATAAAATAAAAATAGCCTTTGTTCTAAGGACTCCCAGAGAAGTCCATCACTTCCGGGGCCTGGCTATCTCTGCTGGAAACGTGGTGTGTGGGACATACTATAGTTTCCGACTGGGGTGGTGCTTAAGGTAGTATTGCTGATGTGCGGGCAGCTGATTGGGACTCTTTTCGCGCCACAGGTTAAGTTGTCATAGGAGAGGGAAAAGTGACCTCAAGTAAACATCCCCAGGTCCTGTCTCCCACTGCCCTAATATCATATCTAGGGCAAAATCCTTTCAGTGTACCCTCAACTGGCCTCAGACTCGCAGTGATTCTCCTGCCTCAGCTTCCTAGGTGCTGGGATTACAGGCATGCCCACCACACCTGGCATCTCCTATTTTTAAATAGGACCCTTGGAACAAAAGGTCAGGAATATATTCTTTTGTCCCTTCCCCTCAAGAATTTTTGCTTTTACTTTTTCGAACAAGGCATTATTCCCCTCCTTTAAGCTTGGGTGGCTTCCGATTGCTTGGGTTAAAGACAAAGCTTTTCAACATCAGTACTGGGCCCCTGCGTGCTGGGGCTCACCCCCAACTCCCTTGAGCCCTGCTATATGCTCCATGCTCACACAGACTCCCTTCTGCCCCAAGTGGCTATTTCCAGCAGGGATTCTCTCCTCAATTTAGTTTCCCATCATCATTCAGACATCTGTCCAAGTATTTCCATCTCCCTGAAACTTTCTTTAAACTTCTTCACACCCTGTGCCTGATCCAATTGTCTCCCTTACACTGCAGCCTAAGAACTGCCAAGTGTATTTCCCTAGATTCGCTGGTAGGTCCACTCTGAAAGGTAAATGAGACCATAACCCACGCAAGGACGATGGAGACAATCTGCCACAAAGAAGCAGTTTATTTGGTGCAGGGACGAGTCGCTAGCAGACAGCGAACAACCCCGAGGGTAAGAAGTCATGGGCTTACATGCCTGAAAACCACAGTGGAGGGAATGGGCGCGCAGGCCAAAACGGCCCCTCAGGAAGGAATAAGGATACATTTAGAGGTGGAGTTGTGAGTCACAGGCACTCCATCAGTCTCTGTGGTTGCTGCAGTTCTCAGAAAAGTACGCACGTGTCTTTGTGGTTGGTGCTATCCTAGTAAAAATCTGCAGGGGTGGTTGGGTTGCACTCTTCAATCCCCTCCTCCCTGGGCCGTGGAGTTCACACTCACCTGAGCAAGCCCAAGTAGAGAAGAGCAGCAAAGAGCAGTGAGAGGTGACCCTTCTCCATGGATCCCTCCTGGTAATGGACCTACGTCAGGACAGGAAGGCACTACACCTAATTACTCTTTATTCTTGGTGAAGGTACTCCTACAATGACAGACCCTGTAAGGGTCATCCTTACAATGAATGCATGCATGCTTACTGTGTGCTATGATAAAGAGAACTCTGCAGCAAAAGGTACATGTCCAGACCAAAAGGATTTGTGCTCCCTAAACTCAGGTTTCCTCTAACTGCAAAGCAATACTCTGCATATTCAAAGATATCTGGCTCTCTTTGCCTGGCTTTGTGGGAACTGGGGTAAAAGAAAGTAGGTACAAAAATGTTGATATCCTGTTCACTGCTCTTGTTAGGGGTTTAAACAATCATTCATCTCTGACTCAGGAATTTGGTGTCTTCTACCAGCATCTACCAGCTGTAGCAGGCAAATTTGGAAAGTCAATGCCAAAAAGAACATACTGCTTCCTCACAACCCTCAGCCTTCAAAGAGGACCAATGTAGCTCGGCATGCTGGCACACATCTGTAATCCCAGCACAAGGGAGGCTGAGGCAGAAGGCTCACCCCAAGTTCAAGGTCAGCCTGGGCTACATGTTAAGACACTGTCTCAAACACAAAGAGGACCAACAGCAAATTTAGGACTCAGAATGAAATCTTGGCCACTGTAGATCTAGAAGGAGAAAACTAATGAAGAATTACATGATATGTGGCTAGAACAGAAGGAGAAAGTAACAAAATCTGGGAAGGGACAGTGCTTACAAGAAGATAGTTGATTAGATGTCGGGCAAATCCAGTCAAGCAAGTGTTTATAATCTGTCAAAATCATTACACCCACAGCACATGCAGAATCTGGGGTAACTACAGTTCCTGAACCATATATGTGGGACCAATCACAGTGTTTCCACCACTGGCCAGACCGTCACACCCCCTCACTGACCAGTAAGATGTTCACAGAAAAACTGACAAAGAAGGTCAGAAAGAAGAAAGCTGAAATACACTACCCTCCTACTCTCCCAAAGGAAGAGAACAATCACCGGTGGCAAACGGCACTTATAGCAAAGTAACATGAAGGGCCTGCTTCACACTCAGAACAAGCGGTGTGCCTTCCTCATCATGTCCACATCCTATAGTTCAAAACCTTCTCTAGTAACAAAGAGATACAGAGGGTCCTTTTGTTTTTTCCTTTTTTTTTTTTTTTTTTTTGTACTAGGGATAGAACTCATGACCTTGCATTTCCCAGGCAGGTGCTTGTGCCGCTGAGCTAAATCCCTGACCCATACATAGGGTTATTAATATTACAGTTCTAGCTGTGAGCTCTCAGCCTCTGATGGGTCTACTGTAGTCAAGCACTTTGCAGTGATTGAGAGTTTGAGTCATTTTGTTTTGTTTTGTTTCTGTGTAGTGCAAGAAAGAATACCAGATCATTTGCCTCTTTCACAGTTTATATCTGATAAAATGTTGGTCAACTGACAAAATTCAAACAACTTATTTTCCCTTCTAAAGCTTCCAAACTTTAAAGCAACTTAGTTGATTAACATAGAACTTCTCAGCAGCCAGTCACTTGCTTTGTTTTATGCAGGCTTTTGTCTCCTAAAGCTGGGGAGCTGTGTTTATTCTGCAGACCTCACAAAACACTGCTTCTGTCTGTGGGGAGCAGCTGAAGCTGAAGATCAATCACATGTGCCGGGCAAGAGTAAGCCCAGCCCCAAGAACATGGGATGCCGAAGGTGAGCCAGACAAATACAATGCTCCAGCCCCTAGAACACAAGGCACCTGAAGCAAGCTAGGTAAACGACTTGTTAGGCAGCAGGTTTCACTTGACATCAACCTGCTGCATGTACAAACATGCTGCAATCCCTGAGCAGCTCTTTTCTCTAAGAGAGAACTCCATTTCACCTCAGCTTTCTGCACTTTTGCCTTCGTTTCTTCAAGGTCTTCTTCCCCCCAGGAGTTTCTCCAGAGCTGCACTGGACACTGCTCAGTGCTGAGGTCAGCTGCAGGTCACCGCAGATGGCCTCTTACCTGAATAAAGAAATCAGTCAAGTTGAAGAGACCAGGTACCCTCTGCACTGAGAGACAGAGCAGGGAATAGTGGTACACACCTATAATACCAGCGCTTGGGACACAGGCAGGAAGTTATAGGCCAGCCTCAAGTGCTATGGCAAGACCACCAACTGAAAAAATTATGTACTTCATAGCAAACAAACACTAGATTGTCTCAAAAAAAAATCTAGAGTTCTGCTTCCAAGAAGTGCCAGTTACCATCTATGAGACCAAGTCCTACAGATAATAACTGTAGTTTCTGAATAAAATGTACAGAGTAATGTAAAACCACTGAAGAGCAATAAAAACAACAACCCAAAGACTGCTATGCAGGACTTGGAAGAAAAGAATAGCTCTGATTAAGCTTTCAATTTTTGTGGCTTTTGATTTACGACTATGACCAAAACTAAGATAGAAAACACTAAAAGCCATAATTCTGGGAAAACACAGTAGCTGAAAAGCAATGGAGGGAAACCCCAGAAGGAATAAACCCCAATCCACATAGACACTCCACCCAAATATCTGGTCAAAACTTTCCACATGCACCACTGACTCCAAGCAGCAAGCTGATTACTTTAAGTACAACACTTTTACTTAAATACAACAGAGAACTCAATGTACACCAACGCTAACACCCATGGCTCTAAAGGCTGAGCATACAATAAACCTGAACCTTTTCTTGAAAGGTTAAGCAAGAGAAAAGTGCAAATTCAGTCCCCTACTGCCACAAATTATACAGCTGAGTTACCCACATTTAAGCAACAATGCACGGATCTGCATATCCAGAGTGTAATGGATAAGCCTTGCTCTGGGAAAACCACCTTCCTGATAATGGTGTCTCCCCTGTAAGGTAAGAATGAATGGACAACCTCGCGCCACACCTCACCCTCCTCACACACTCCTCACCTTCTCATGGTCACTATGCTCACACCTCTTCCACGCCTCCCCCTCCCCACACACCACACCCTGCTTCCCACCACGACCCGCAGGCCTTGGATCGGGGACACGCCCGCGAAACGCGGCTGCAGGAACCACGCACTGCAACCGGCAGCCACCCCTTGACATCTACATGTCCCCGCCTCTTGAGGTGACGCCCCGCAACGGCCAGCCTTTCGCCAGCTGCCCTTCCGGAGGTTCTGGTTTACCGCACGCCACGGCGCTGCGGGGACAGGACGGGTGGCACCGGGGCGACGCGGCGGCGGCGGGCAGCAGAGTGGGTCGTGCCAGTGCTAAACTTTAGCGTGCCCAGCAGCCCAGATCGTCCGACCCCATCCAGACCCTCAGGCCCCGAACAGCAGCAGCTCAGGGCAGCCGGCTTCACCAGGATTCACACCGGTAGCTTGCGGCACCAAGAGAGCAGCCTCTGCCGCCTGTCTGCTAACAATCCGAGAACACGTACGTGTGTGTGTGTGTGTGTGTGTGTGTCCGTAAGTTTGTGAGCCTGTACGCTGCATTGGCTGTGTTGTGATGGGGTCTGGTTATGCAGGTCAAACTGGCCAGGAACTCACTATATAACCTATGCTGGCCTCGCTCATGGCAACCCTGTTCCCTCAGCTCTCAAATGCTGGCTTTAAGGCGTGTGTTACCCGGCCTGGCTTTTTAAAAAAAAAAAAAAAAAAAAAAAAAAAAAAACTTTGTAATTTTTAATTTTAATTACTATGTGTTTGCAAGAACTTAATGATTACATTCATTGGGGGAAATTAATACATGTACACAACATATCTCAATTCTGTTTTTCTATTTCCCTTCACTTCCTCTTAAAATGTTTTTTGCCAGCAACACATTTATTTGTAAGCCCTTATCAAGTTAATTACTATAAATTAGGATTAACAAACAGGCCATAAAAGTATCAAAACTATAAAGATAACTACACTAAGTCAAGGTATGGTTTTAGATCCATTGTCCATGCTGACTTACAGTGACCCCCTCTCCTCTTTTCTCTCTCACTATCGCTCTGTCTCTGCTATTATTTTTTATTTGTTCTTTCTTCCTTTTTAGAAATAGAGACATTTCACTTTTTGCCTTATTGACTAGGTGCTTTGCACAAAACAATTCCATTTCTAGCGACTATACTACCAAACGCTTTGGTCATATTTCCCTTTTGTTCTCCCTAATTGTCTTGAAAAACCTGTTTTGTTTGCTATGTTTGGAGAATAATTTTGTTTTTTACAATAGTTACAAAAGTCACTTTAGCTTTTGTGTATGTGTGTGATTCTTTTCTTTTTATTTTTTATTTTTTTTATTTTTTTGAGACAGGGTTTCATAATGTAGTGCAGACTGAACTTGAACTCAGTTATGTAGCCCAGGGTGGCCTTGAACTCACAGCAATTCTCTTGCCTAAGCTTCCCAAATGCTAGATCTACAGGAGTGCACCACTATACCCAGCTACTAAATTCACTTTGCAAAGGACAGAAAATGTTTGAAAATTTAAAAAGGAGACAGACCTACATCTCAACTACCTGGGATACTGGAGGAGACTGGTAAATTCAAGACAAGCCTGAAACAGTAAACAAAATCCTCTTGAAATAAAATACATTAAGGAGCAGGGCATGGCAGGCCATGCCTATAAAGGGGCACTCTGAGAGGCTGAAGCAGGGTGATTCAAAATTTAAGTCCAACTTGAGCAATCTGATGAAACCCTGGTTAAAATTTAAAGGGATGAGCCGAGTGTGGTGGTGCACTTCTGTAATCTCAATACTTGGGAGGCTGAGGCACGAGAATCTTTGTGAGTTCGAGACAAGCCTGAGCTACAAAGTGAGCCCAAGGCCACCCTGAACTGCATAGCAAGATCCTGTCTCAAAAATAAATAAATATGTAAAGAGCTGGGGGAGTAGGGCTGGGAACACATGTGGTTGTTAAGTTTAAAAATTAAAACCAGCCACCCCAACTATAAAATTGTTATTACACTTTGACAGTATATGCGGTAAAATCAGGTTCCTTACACCTAAGTATTTTTTTAAAGAAGTATATTTCCTATGGTGTTTTATAACTTTCATTTGTTGTGCCACATGATGGGACACAGATAATTTCACCAATATTGCACTCTGCTCCTTCTAATTTTTTTTTTTTGCTCCTTCTAATCAGTGACCCATATATAAATACAAGCAACGTATTTTTAGCTACATATTTGCAGTTAGTGATGGTTTGATAATTTTCTACTTGTATTTTTTGTTTATTTTGCAGTTTAGGGACCTTCCTGCTTCACAGTCCTCTAAGTAGCTGGGATTACAAAAGTATACAATCACTTGCCTGGTAAGTGTAAGGTCGTGAGTTCTGCCCCCAGTACAAAAAAAAAAGTGTGCCATCCCACTCCACACTAGTCATCTCATAGAAGAGGTGCCTAAATTACTTGAGAGAATAGTGGTAATATAATTATTTTGACATAATTATTTTAATTTTTTTGAGACAAGTTTTTGCTATGTAGTCCACACTAGCCTCAAACTCATGATAGTCCTGCCTTAGCCTCTTGAGTACTAGGATTACAGGAACGTACTACACCTCTAGTTTTTACAATTCTTTAAAACTGTTTTCCCCTGATTTGTTTCCTTTTTTCAGTCTTTCAAATTCAAGATCTTCAATGTCAGAGTTCACAGTCAAAAGAATTTAAACCAAGCACAGTGGCCCATGTCTCTAATACCAGCTACTTGAGGGGTTGAAACAGGAGAATCAAAAATTTGAGGCTAGCCTGAGCAATGTAGTGAGACAGTCTGAAAAATTAAAAACAAAAACTGGGTGTAGTGGTGCACTCCTGTAATCCCAGCACTGAGGAGGCTGAGGCAAGAGGATCGTTGCAAGCGAGGCCAGCCTAAACCACACAGTGAGAACCCAATCTCAAAAAGACAAAAAATTACAAAACTAAAGAAAGGGCTGGAGCTGTACTTCAGTGGAGATGTAGTCCAATTTGTTAAAATGAGAGAGGAAGGGGGACTATACGCATAAGACTCTGAGCTTCATCCCTAGAACAGGAGAGAAAGGAGAAAGGCGAGAGAAAGGAAGACCCATGCTGAATATAAAAATAGGCAACATGAAATGGAACAAAGACTGTGATCAAAACTCCTAGAAAGTTAAAGGTTAGCAGACTGAAGGAGCTATACCATGCTGGGTGTGGTAACACAAACCTCTAATCCCAACACTCAGGGATGCTGAGGCAGGACGGTGACACAAATTCAAGATCAACCCCAGCTTTATAGTAAGTTCAGGGCCAGCCTAAAACTAAACAGACATTCTTCATTTAATGATTGAGTTATGTTTCTACAAATAGCCATCAAATGAATGAGGAATTATATACATACAGTATGTACATTACAGTATTCACAACAAAACGCTCAAAGCAAACTCCAACTTGATGACTTTGCTTTTATTTGCATAACTCTTACACAAAATACTTCAATATGCAACAACCTAAAACTACAGTACTCTGCAGTACAATCAGCAAAAATTATGGTAGTTTAACAAAGTATACTGTACTCAAAAAAAAAGATATTGAGGCTTTATAAACAAGATGCATTGAACTGTACAAAAGGAAAGACAGATAGTAAGACCCAGCAGTGTGCCTTTTTAAGTTCAAACACTAATTCCCCAGATAGGTCATTAAAGGAGGAACATCTCATTATGAGACCTTGGGTTTGAAGGGGGGCTATTCATACAGATGCTGAGTTACATCCTGAGGACCATAAAGAAAAAAGAAAAGAAAGCAAAGGAACATAATTTTAGTGTCAATACAGGAGTCTGGACTGCTTTCCACCTAAATATTATGACACAGACTGCAGTACTCATACAGAAAAACCTTAATTGTAACTATATGCATATGGTGTCAAAAATGTTCACACCTGTTGATTCAGTAGTATTTTACTTTACCTAAAGGAATTTTTAAATTTTACCTAGACAAATGGAATTCCCTTTGTGTTCATCATAGACAAATGGCAAAAAAAAATCTAATCAAAACACAAAATCTCAAAACAATAGAGAAACTGAATATTAAAAACAAATTTAAACATCATATAATAATGATTACTAACATGAAAACATGTGGAAGGGTCTAGGAATGTAGATCAGTGTCACAGCACTTTGTCAAGATTCTGTGAGGCCCTGGGTTCATTCTCCAGTGTCACAAAATGGGTAGGGAGAGTACTGAAAAGTATTGCACAGAAATGGTAAGTATTTTCAGTAATATCACTGAACTGTTTTTGCTGCATAATAAAAAGACCAAATCTAAAATGTACAGTTAAAGTTTTGAACACAGCGTTTGGCATCACATAGATTTAAGTGCAAAGTATGACTTTTACTATATTTTAGCTTTCTGGACTGGGGATTTAGCTCAGTGGCATAAGCGTCTGCCTTGCAAGCACGAGGTCATGAGTTGGATCCCTGGTACCGATTTAGCTCTCTGTACTGGAATTTAGGAATAATAATTGTTAGTAATTACTACATCGAATACATTGACAAATATAATATATAAAACCAACACACACAAAAAAAGTGACCTGAGGCAAGGTTGAGAAACAGAGCTTTTTGGTACAGGAGTGCTCCCTCCTAGACAACCAGGAAGGGCAGCACCCTTCCCATGCCTCTCAGGTTCTGCTGCCCCTGCCACCTCAAGCATTCTATTCCAATGCACACCGTGCCCCTCAGTTTGTGAGTCTCACCTCCATCTCTGAATTTCCACCCATCTCTTAGTCTCACCAGCCTCACAGAAAGATTGGTTCTCAGAAATACAACAAGGGTGCCATGTGTATGTCGTGATTTTTTTTTTTTCGTTTTCTTTTTTAATTGGCCGTCCTGGGCAAAGTTTTCAGAGTCTTATGCACACTAGGCAAGCACTCTTGCACTAAGCCAGTACTCTAGACTGAGCTACTTTC